CCAGGACGTGGTGGCTTTGTGGAAGGCCGGGAGGGTAGTAAGGGTCCGGATCTCAACAGGGAGCTCGTTCCAGAGGGCATTAACCAGTTACAAATAGGTTCATTCTAAAGCCCAGCGAAATAGAAAAAGCCAAAATATATGCGTATGGATGTGTGTGTATGTGTGTTTCTGTCCATGTCACCAATTTCAGTTTTTCCCTTCTAGAAACCAAGGAGGAGCTGGAGGATCTGATGTCTGATATCAAGAAAACGGCCAACAAAGTGCGCTCCAAGCTAAAGAGTTGAGTATCTGCTGTAGGTGTAAGGAGAGAGACGGCCACTCCTGGCATGACTGAAGTTGGGATCGTTTTGGGGCTTCCAAGTCTCTCCCTGATTTGATATAATGGATAATGACATGGCGCACGCCTGAAGAGGCACCGGCCGGCTGTGCTTGGATCTGCTCACGGAGACATTCCGCCTGAAAGTTACTTCCTTAGTGCAAAGAAATGCCAGGGTCCAAGGGGAGAAACTAAGAAAACATGGAAAGGAAAGGCTGAAATGATGGCAACAGTGGCGATAGGAACTCAGTGGTAATAGGGCAGTGATGGAGAACCTTTTAGGCACTTGAGTGCCCAAAGTGTGCATGCACTCAAACTGGAAGGCATGGGCGCAGGCACATGCACCCGCTGATCATGCACAGCAAAGACCTGAAAATCAGCTGGCTGGTGGGGGAGGCGCATGGGTATGCGTGGCAGAGACCCGAAACAGAGCTGGGGCGATGCCACGCGTGCCCACAGAGAGGGTTCTGCGTGACACCTCTGGCACACGTGCCATAGGTTCGCCACCACTGTGATAGGGACTCAGATTAGGGATTGCCACTCCTAAGCTGGGAGGGTAGCCCCAACAGATCCCAGGGACAACATCAACGCTGTCTCTCCAGAAGAATGCAGTGCTGGGAGCAGCTAAGATACTGTGCAGAATCCTCGAACTTCCAGGCCTCTGGTAGAGGACCCACAATTGAAGAAGGTACACATCATCCATCAGTGTAAGAAGGGAACATGTCTCTCTTAAATAGATTGACTTACCTCCTCAATGGACATCACAGGCTCACTTCCCAAAACAAGTAGTAATTGATCAACAGTTCATGAAGTCTCAAGTTCAACTATCTTCACTGTAGGAGCTCACTAAATGATTGTGAATTCTTTGTTCTTTGCACAGCCAATCTATCTGAGAGCTTGACAAAGTTGTTACAGAATTGAAAGCTCTAAGCTTACATTCTCTGCTTGTATCACCGCCACATGCATTTTTTGTGTGTTTGTGCAAATGATCCACGAGTAATGATAAAGGATGCTAAAGGGTCCCACATGGGAAAAAAAATCTCACTTTTTTCACTCTGGAGCCTCTAATATCTTCATGAAAAATTTTAAAGCACTTTCCATTGTGCTTGGGGGAAAATCTTTGAATCAAGCTGATTGCAAGGAACTCCTTTCCCTGCAGAGGTGGTATTCAGCCTGTTCGGGCGAACTCCACCCACCCACCCACCCTGCTTGCGCAAAAGGCAGTGTGCATGTGTGCGGACAAGGCGTGTGCGCTTACATTTGCTAACCGGTAGGGAAAGTAAGTGAATCCCACCTCTGCTTCCCACTGAGCTATTAGAAGATATATTTTCTTTAAAAAAACAGTTATGTATGTGAGTATTAGGGTTCATCTTTGCTGGCCCAGATTTTGATTTTTTTAAAAATAAGGTAAAGGTTCCCCTCGCACATATGTGCTAGTCGTTCCTGACTCTAAGGGGTGGTGCTCATCTCTGTTTCAAAGCCAAAGAGCCAGCGCTGTCCGAAGATGTCTTTGTGGTCATGTGGCCGGCATGACAAAATGCCAAACGTGCACGGAGCGCTATTACCTTCCCACCAAAGGTGGTTCCTATTTTTCTACTTGCATTTTTACATGCTTTCGAACTGCTAGGTTGGCAGAAGCTGGGACGGGAGCTCACTCCATTAGGTGGTGCTAGGAATTCGAACCGCCAAATTGCTGACCTTTTTGATCGACAAGCTCAGTGTCTTAGCCACTGAGCCACCCTGTTGCTTTTTAAAAAAAAAAAACGAACAAATCACTGCAATCACTCCAATGAAGCCTACAGGTGATAACTTGCCAGGTGCAAGTTTTAAAAAAATGGGTCATTTATAGTTGGTTGGTTCCTTCTCTTCTGGGGAGTTATTTTTAGTCCAGTCTGAAATGGATGTTCAGCAGGCAGAGAAGGAGAGACAGAGACTGAGACCATCTGTTTACCCTGTAATGTGCTTTTTCTTCCCTCTCTCAAAATAGGTTCTACTTTTCTGCTTTTTCTTAGGTATTGAACAGAGTATTGAACAAGAGGAAGGGCTGAACAGATCATCAGCGGACTTGAGAATAAGGAAAACGCAAGTGGGTCCATTTCTAAAAAGCCATGTTGCCTATCAGTTCAGAGGTTTTCAATAACCAGGGTGATCAAATGGTAGATTACTTTTACAAATCCTATAGCTTTTGAAAATGGCTCCACCTCCTTCTCAATATCTATAGCAGTGGTTGGCATTTATTGGGGGGGGGGGGCTGTATGCCATTGTATGATATTCATGTTGGCTAGAATGTCTCCCATGACACATTGTCTGTACTGATGCCCAAAACCTAGACCTGCTGGGAAAGACAGTATGCTTTACATTCTCCTCCCTATCCTCTTCTAAATGGGCTAAAAGGACTTATCTTTGCAAAGAACAAAGTCACATCCAATCCTCCAGAGGTTGTCCAAGCCTGATTTACATCATCATTTGATCTTTCTGAAACCAAGCAGATGGATGATACTCTGTGGAAGGTAAATAAGGAAATTACAGGGACACCATTGCCTGTTCCATAATCCTATGAATACCCCAAATACAGCGTTGATGAGACAGTGAAATATGGGCTATTGAATGTTTTGGGGGATTCAGCTTTTTCTCTCTTTCTTCCCATCTATTCCAAGAATCTATAAAATAGACCAAGTGGGTCTTCATGTAGATTAATATTTAATTTTATTGTCTAGCCATGTGGCTTCAAGAAGCCCATAAACAGGCAGCAAAGCTGTTTATTTGATAATATACATTTATTTGATATAAGGTATACATGAGAGGTCCACCCAGCATTCTCAGTTAGCACTGATTGGTAAGCATCTCATTTCTCATAGGTTTGTTTTTCAAGCCATTGGCCATGATCTCTTCTTCCATAAATTCCATGGGTTCAACATAGTATCAAAGAGCATTTTCTTTGTAAATTTATAAATAGAAGAAAATAGGATTTTTACAGAAGCTTGTGAATGTATAAGCCAGCAGCACACATATTTTTAAGAAATATTCTGTTGTAATTTTGCTTTCCCACTCCCGCCCCCAGCATTCCACTTTATCACGGAAGTTTGTGGAGGTGATGTCAGAATATAATACAACCCAGACTGATTACCGGGAGCGTTGTAAAGGGAGAATCCAAAGACAGCTGGAAATCAGTGAGTGCCTTCCTTATTAGCCCTTTTCACTGAGGTTATCATGTGTTTGTTCATCCATTTCTTACAGAAAATGGTGCAGTCCTCTGTTTTTCTCGTTTGCCTATTTTCACAATTCGTTTTAATTGTGATATCAGTATTTTTCTTGTGGTCAGGTTGTTGTTGAAGCATTCAGAAGTACTGTACATATAGTTAAAAGCTTCCTGTTCAAGTTTGAGAAAGAGCTTCTATTCAATTTATATTTTCCCATTTTCCACCAAAAGTTCTGTAAAGGCAGATTAATGAAACCCATTTGTGTTCTTTAAGGCAAAGTTCACATTCCTAATTTCTTATTAGCATTTTTTTTATAGTAAAAAGCCTATTTTGTTATAAAAGAAAGATCCTAAACAATAATTAAAGGCACATTCCCATAGCCAGAGAATTCGAACAGATTAATTTAGCTGTGATGCAGTTCATACTCAGACAGGACAATATAGTGGATTTTGAACTAATTCAGTTTTCTACTGTAACCATTGGCATGAAGGGAGATATTATTGAAATCTTGTCCTGGATTCCTAGTGGGATAAAGGTGGCACAGTGGTTAGAATGGGGTACTGCAGGCTACTTCTGCTGACTGCCGGCTGCCAGAAATTTGGCAGATTGGATCTCACGAGGCTGAAGGTTGACTCAGCCTTCCATTCTTCTGAGGTTGGTAAAATGAGGACCCAGATAGTTGTGGGCAATAACCTGACGCTGTAAACCACTTAGAGAGGGCTGTAAAAGCACTGTGAGTTGTCACACTATGTTGTCTCTCCAGTGAATGATACTGTTCCTATGAGAGCTGGTCTATGACTTTAGGGTCCTATTGGAGTCCCAGCTGCTGCTACTTGCAGGGCATGGTAAAGAGGCCCTTGCTCAGATAAACTGGTGCCAGTCCTGACATTACCAGTAGTGAAAAGACCCAGGTCTGGTTTCAATGTACATCACCATTCCTCTACATAGGACTGCTTTGGAGATAAATGTCATCAATCTTTGTCATAATTGATTGACATTTTTTTGCTATTATGTTTTTGTGGAATTACTGTTGTTTAGAGTTATTACTGTGGGCATTTTAATTTCCTAATACATTTTTCCAGGAATCTGGAAAAATTGGGCAACATATGACCTAATAAATAAAATGCTGGATGTGATTGGGAAATACCAATTTAGATAAGTGTTTTTCCAACTTTGCCATTTTAAGATGTATGGATTTCATTTCCTAGAATTCCTCAACCCACATGCTAAATTGGAAGCCTGATGTAGACCATACAAATCACAAATACTCTTTGCCCTTTCTCAGTTTCCACTATGCATCCATGGAGTACAATTGCAGACTGGAGCAAGCAAAGTTCCTTTCCTTTCCTATTTATCACAACACGCCTAGTGTAAGAGATGAGAGCTGGAAAAGAGGCTATGAAGTGGCCCCCTGCCTCTTCTGTTTGGAGGCTGTCTCTGACAAAATGTACCGAGCTGCAGAAGAACATGTGGTGCCTTAAGGTCTGCTCTGTCCAGGTGGCTTTTTCAACATAAAAGGAGGAGAGAGTAGATAACTATCAAAAAGCAGAAGGGGCAGCAACGTGTATTGGGGGAAAAATAGAAGTCTTGAGTGGAAGAGATTAGGAATTAGGGAAAAAAAGCTGCTTGCAGATATAATGAGTAGGAAGGGAGGATTGTGTAATGACTATTCTTTCATTATGCCAAGGAATGATGGGGAACAAGGAAATTTGCATCACTATGTCACATTACGGCCCTGCTTTTCTTTCAAAAAAATGAAATTTGAAATTTTGATTCTATATGCACTATCACTTCCTATTAAGGGATACGTACTGCCTAAATCTTGCCAACCAGTTTTGATCAATTTTATAGTATGTCTGTCTGAGCAAGCTGTGTTAACCGGGCTAAGGTTCATATCGATATGTTGATGTGGGCTGTTGGGCTTAGTTCTGAGTTCTCTGCTGAGATGTTGGAGAGGTCGGAAAGGGTAATAGAGGCAGGTTATGAGAATCATCTGAAAGGATCCGAGGAAGAAATACGGACAAAGTTTTGGACTATTGGAGGCTAGGAAGGAAAGATAGATTCTATTGTTCAACCCGTAACTTCTTAATATCATTTGCAGCTGGCAGGACCACCACCAGTGAAGAACTGGAGGACATGCTGGAGAGTGGGAATCCAGCTATCTTCTCCTCTGGGGTAAGCAGACTCTCCCTTGGCCTTGGGATTTGGCCAGTCTTTTCTTTGTCCACACTGCTGGGAGTAGACCCAAAGGTGCCATTTCAAAAGGCAGCTGGACAACCTCACGATTCAAGAAAGAAGAGCAGTGACATCCCTAGGAAGAGACCCAAACATCACCATCTTGCTGGCTAATAAAGGAAGAGATTCACAGTTATCCTGAACACAGATGACTAAACGCTAACATAGATGCTCTACTGAAGGGCCCTGCTACATGTGAGACTCTGAAGAGAGATCCTACTAGCAGTTATAAGAAAAAGGTCATTGATTTCCTGCAACAGCTACTGCAGGACAATGCTATTGACAAACCACAATACTACTGCCTTTACCTTAGGAAAACTACTCTATGCATAGGTGGACTCCCCAAAATCCACAAAGAGGGAACTCCACTTGGACTGTTTGTGAGCAGCATCAACTCCATCACCTAAAAACAAAATTCAGTTGCTATTTGAAAAGGCACAACCATGGGACAACCATGACCTGGATGACTGAGACTCTCCATAGACTCATTCTGAGAGTAGAGTTTAGCAGTGCCATGTTTGAGTCCTTACAATAGCAATAGCACTTAGACTGATATACCACTCCATAATGCTTTATAGCAGTGGTCCCCAACAGGGGTAGTATTCACTTACCTTCCCTACCGGTTCGCAAATGTGAGCATGCACGGTTTTTTCCAAAGAAAGGGGTTTTTTTTCAAAGAAAGTTTTTTTCCAAAGAAAGCTGTAATTTTTTTAAGAACTTAGTTTTCACCAATTTATAAACTTGTTCTAGCCAGCCACAGAAAATTAGGAGAATGTGGTCTCCAGAAATATCTACCCAGGATGGAAAGTCTACCTGGACCATATGCCATTAATTTTCCAATGCTGCCTTTTTCTTTTTTCTTTTTGCTAGATCATCATGGACTCCAACATTACAAAGCAGGCACTGAATGAGATTGAGACACGGCACAGTGAGATCATCAAGCTAGAAAACAGCATCCGTGAGCTTCATGATATGTTCATGGACATGGCCATGTTGGTGGAAAGCCAGGTGAGAGCTGCTGCGGAAGGATGGACTTCTTTACTTATGGCACACCAGGTGGCAACATTTAGTCCTGTGTTGATTAGTCTCCGGTCTGCACTATCCTCTGCTAGAGATACTGCAATGGTACCTTTGCACTATAGTTCCTACATTAAAAAGAGGGTTGGGATAAATGACTTCGTTAGTTCTATGGCCTGGATTACACAAATAAATTTCTGTTGATCCAAACTTCCCTATACCACCTTGTTTTGAACATCTTAAGTTTTCATTTCATGACTCGCTTTGTTTACTGTGTTAACTCATTTTTGTTTTCATGTGGTGTATTAAAACATAGACTAACATAACTAAATGCCCCCCCAAAAAATCAAAGTTAGAGCTAAACATCTTTTCAATGTTATGCAAAATGCAATTATTTAGCTCTTATCGGACTTGGTTAAGCATGTTGTTCCAATTATGATGGTCCAGTGAGATCAAGTCCACCACATCTGATTTGTTCAACATTTACTGCAGTTTGAGCTTAAAGATTATCCGTAAGAGGGACAAGAGAGAATCCTGACCAAGAGAGAATAAGGAAGAAGCAAAGTGTAGGAATTTGATCCTGCAATTTTTCTTCCATTATTGTGCAAAGCCCTACACAATGTGATCATGCTTTGTATATCATTGTATACTAGTGCTGATAACCCGGCATTGCCCAGGTATTTATTTATAGGAGGAAAATGTCCGGACCAAACATAATTTCTAATGCTGGATTTTCCTCCCTTACCACAGGGAGCCCCCTTGTGGAGTACTGTGAAGCTGTTACCATGGTAACTCCACTGCGCTGTACAGTAGAATCCATTTTAAGGCACAACAGGCTGTATCATAACAGAATTTGAATCCAAAATGTACACTATCACTGTCAAAAGTATTGTGACTTGACACTATGGATATAATTCAGTCCTTTTCATTTCAGAGGCCCAGGCATTCCAGAGTTATGCTGGAACACACACACACACACACACACACACACACACAAGGGCACACACAGAACCCCCCCCCCTGCCCCGAGGAGTGTTAGGGGTGTCTTACCCCCACAGTATTTGTTTCCAGAGAGTAAGTCATCTGTGTACCAAGTTTGGTTGAATTTGTGTGCATAATAGCAGGAAGGAATATCTGATAGGGTCTCCTAGCCCAGATAATTCACCCCAGCTCTTCTGTTGTGTAATATCTCAAAAAAAATCTCATTAAGAAGAAGCTAATCCAGGAATAGAGACAATACCAAATTGGGCCAGAGGCTCAGAGAATGGAAGACAAACAAAAAAAAAAGTTGCAAACAGTCTTTTGAAATGTATAAAGTCCTAGGGAGGGGGTCCAAAAAAGTACAGAAATGGTATTTGCGGAGGATTGTAAAATTTTCTTCATAAACTCAGAGGTTGAAAAATGCTTTCTGAATTAGAAAATCCTAATTAAAATAGCTAAATTTAATTAGAACTTAAAATCAACAGCAGCTAAGAAAAGGTAGGAGGCCACATGAAAAATCTTTGTTCTACACGCAGTTCCTGTGCTGTAAAATAAGTATCTATGTTTCAGACCTTTCTCCAGTTAAAGGGCTGAAACGTAGCTACTCATCTTACAACACAAGGACTGCCTATCCAAAGACTTTTCAATACAATACAATACAATACAATACAATACAATACAATACAGTACAATACCAGAGTTGGAAGGGACCTTGGAGGTCTTCTAGTCCAACCCCCTGCGTTGGCAGGAAACCCTATATCGTTTCAGACAAATGCCTATCCAACATCTTCTTAAAGACCTCCAGTGTTGGAACATTCACAACTTGTGGAGGCAAGTTGTTCTAACTGATTAATTGTTCTAACTGTCCGGAAATTTTTCCTCAGTTCTAAGTTGCTTCTCTCCTTGATTAGTTTCACTTGGCCTCTTACCTTTTCTTAGCTGCTGTAGATTTTCTTTAAGGTCCAATTAAATTTAGCTATTTTAATTAGATAAAGTAAAAGTGGTAATCACCTTGCAAAAAGATAGGGCAGTGTCATTTATGATAAATTTGACTCTTATTATTGTGATGCTTTGACAACTTTGCTTTTCCACTTATCCTACCCGTGAGAAACTGTTGTTCTGTTAAACTGACAGTATTGTTATTTCATTTTTCTGAACCATTCCTCCTCCTGAAGGGTTAGAGAAGAACCTAAAGCCAATTTTAGGTAACAAAGTAGCAATTATTTTAAAAATTACATTCAAACAGGGCTAAATGAAGTTCATTTAAAAAAAAAAAGGCAAGATAGCCTGTTCCTGGCAGAGTTGTTGTTCTGCAAATGCCTGGGTGGATTGATGTGCTTTTATCTGACCTATACTTATTGAGGACAGAGGTCCATAATTGGGGTGTTGTCGCAGGAAATGCTTCTCAAAGGTTGGATTGCATTGCAAATGTCTGTCTGTGTTTTTGTTTTAAACATGACCTCCTGGGAAACCTCAGTAATAGAAATGATGTGACATGGTTGATTTTCATATGCCTATCTGTGCAATCCATAGAAAATGAAGCAGAGAGGGGAACTTCGAGCATGGGGCGGTGGGCTACGTTTACAGAAATAGGCAGAGAGGAAAGCGGAGGTACCATCCTTGCCCTTTTAAGGGGTAAAATACACTTGATTCCTGATTGTTTGGCACTGCCTTTCTTCTTACCACTCCTGACCCCCCTCTTTCTATCTCCCACGCTACCATGCATACTCGGATAAAGCTGTTCAGGTATTGGCAGGTAATGCCTATTTTCCCAGAGTTGGGACCATTGCATGTCTATGCTGCATGGCTGCTTCATGATTCTGCATGCCCCTGCAGTATTGTTGGGGAAGGGGAAGGGTGATGGCCAAGTGGCTAGCTTGCCTAGAGCAGATGCTGCAGGAAGGAAGAATAGGTTGGGGTTACAGCATATGTGCTTCATGTAAAAAACTGCAAGACTTGATCTCAGGAATCTGAAAGAGGTGGGCTGGATCCAAGGCCATTGTTTTCAGCTGAAGACAACACCAGGTTCAGTGACCCAATCTTTCCTTGCATGATGGTCTCCCTCTGGTACTCAGTCTTGTTTGGATTTCTCTTGATAGTTAAACAAAAATTGCTAGGTTCATTAAGGTGATCAAGGCATCACCAAGTTGAGTAATCCTCATCTCCCAGAATAGTCACCCACATGGCCACGGCTGAAAATGTCGAGAATTGATCCACACATTAGGGGTTCCACCACAAATCCGCGAAGCCCTTATCCGCGGAGACATAAGTGCGAAGACTAATTCGCGCCGTTCAAGCGCTAAGGAAAAACGCAACCCTACCGCGATGACATAATCGCGGAGGGCAAATCCGCGCAT